TCTGATGATAGCAAATCCATCTTAATTGATTTACTTAGATTCTTGGTCGATACATTTATCATGTCTTTAATTAAACTATATATTCATCAAAATTACACATATATATTTTCCTTAACCAAGCAACTAAGAATAAGAAAAGAACAAACAAAAAAATATTCTGAATAGTGAATTCTAATTATTCAGTAGCTGACAAATAACATTCATCGACCCTTTTGCATCTTCTCAGACATTTATTTTCCTTGAGAATCTTCACGTGATTCACAATTCACATAACTCAATGGCAGAATATTTACCATGTAAGTGCATGTTTGCTTCGGACAGCTCGTCGACTTCTTGCTCACGCATAATCTAATGATCATCTCGTAGTACACCGTGGTCGACTAGAATCATCCTAAATTCCTCTTTGAGACAAGGATAATCTCGTAAAAGCAAATCGACTTCTTCCTTGAAAATCTCCACATCGGCATGTCCCTCAAATCTCACCAAACTCTCGATCAACCCTCCTCGCAGTTCACGGCAGTTGCTGCTCAACATCTTCAAGAACTCTAATATTCTTTTAAGATTCGACGGATTAGTAACAACATCATCTCGACGAGAACCCGTAGACAAACCCTGAAGAAGTCGTTCGAATCCGGCGAGCAAAACGTCGCAGTTCCGGAAAGTAGTGGCGATTTGTTTTTTGACATCAACCGCGTTTAAAGATCCAGATTGATAAAGTTTCATTGCGATGATATATTGAAGGAAGACTCCACTGTGTTTTCTTTTGTTGTCAATCTCTTTTACTTTCCTCAAGAACTCGCAACCTCGCTCAAACTCCTCCTCGGAGCAATCTGCGGGAAGTTTGGGGGATTTTCTCGTAGTAGACATTCTCAAATAAGCGATTCTTACTTTTTGTCTTTGAGTTTGTTTTTTGTCTGTTGAGTATATAGGTAAGCTCCCCTCTCTATGTATAGCTGTTTGTAACTCCTAGGAATAGGGGTTATTTAAAAAGAAACACTAACACTACAAGAAAAAAGACGTATTCCAACAGACTTATTAGTCGATAATTTGTTGGAAATATACGTTTCTAATAAATGCCCAACAAACATACATTTGTTGTAATATGATCGTTGGAAACTTGCATTCATCAGGAACTTGTTGGAAATGTTCCGTCATATATATTTTTTCGGAAATTCGTCGAAAGCTATTGACAAATTGTTTGTCGGGAATTTGTTAGTATTTTCCATGGAGTTTTCAACGAATCGTTCCATCAAAGATTTTGTGGGAATGTCATTGCAAATTTCCGACAAATTCCAGACGAATTTGATCGAAAGTTCATGGGAAAGTACTGATAATTCATTTCTTGGAAAATTGTTGATATTTCCGTGAAATTTCCAACGTAATTTTCCGTCAAATTCTTTATTGGAATGTCATTACTAATTTCCAATGAATATTCAACAAACCCGATCGATAGTTCATGGGAAAACACTGATAATTCATTTGTTAGAAATTCGTTGGAACATTCTTCTCAATAATTTGTTANT